AACCAACTCAGACCTTTAAAAACAACGCATAGTTCTGTAGGAAGGATGTCAGCTGAATTCACACAGTGTCCAGAAAGGCCAGAAAATCGGTCTCAGAAACACCACAGGGTGGCTTTGTGTGGCAGGGTCAGCCCGTTTCCCCCTCGGTCACTCTGCTCAGGGGAACACATCCCATTCGGCTGACCACAGCCCTGTCATCTTGCATTGCCTGGGGAAGAGGCAGATCCTGAGACGAAATCTGGTGCTGTTGTCCGTTCAAGGTGACATCGAGGTTGGGTGGCCAGAGAGCTACCCGTGTCCTCCCTGGGGAACCCCTCTGTCCCCTTGGAATCCGTGAGGCCACTGGACTTGGTGTTCCTGGACGACTGGCTGCTCTTAACAAAACTCCAGCAACACTCGCCTGGTGTCGACTTTGTTTTCCACTGAGTGTCTCTAATATCACAGTTATTTAAGTGCAGCTGCAGCTCCCAGCAATATCAGGCCCAGGACTGGACGTCGGAGCTGGCCTCAAGCTGGAGCGCTCGTCCCTGGTGATGAGCATGTCCCTGCTTGTGCAGAGGCAAGCCTGTAACCAGCAAGTAATGGACACCAGGGGACTTGGCCGAGCTTTCTGCCCTGCAAAGTCGATGCTGAACGAGTTGTTACAAGTCACGCACAGATATATTTTCCGTGATGTGTCCAATTGCAGCTGGAATTGTTCTGAAATGGATAGGGCAAGGTCATCTGTGGGAAGGGTGACTATAGAAAGGAAATAGTCATTTTGACTAGAGGGCCACCAGGACCCTCTGGCCCTCATCAGCAGGTGTTTCTTCGGACTCCGCTGGGTCCCTGGCACTGTGTGAGGCAAGTTGTTCCCCTGTTGTTCCATGGTGTGGTATGTGGTCACCCTTAGCTCTGTCTCTTTGACTATAAAATGGAAATAAGAGCAACGTTGTGGGATTCTTGTCAGTCTTGGAGTTTGTGGGGTGTGTGTCTTGGGGTTTGAGCAGTATCTAGTTAGTACTTGGTAGCTTAGCTTTTGATCACAAACCCCCATTTTTAGTAAATTCTCATGAAACATTGTACCTTGGCTTTCTCTCCCAAATTCCCCGACTGTGGGGGAAATAGGGCACCCCCTCCAGGCCTGGGGTCCAGCCCTTGAGTTGGTACCCCATTTCCCATAGTCCCTTTAAAGGGTTATGTGCCATCTTAATATACATACCTTTTAATCTATAATGTGTTGGTTATGTCCTAACATAACCAAAAATTGTTCACATTGTCAGCAGCATTGAAAGATGTGTCGATTAATGTGAAGTGAGATGGAAAGTCTGTTTGCAGCTTCATCCCCCTGGCATTTCCTGGGTCTTCTGGGAACCTCTACCCCTGACTCCAGCAAGAGTGTAGGGACAGTGGGTGCTGGGCAAGGTGGCTTGAATTTAGCTGAGTTCCCCAGTGTGCAGGTGGACAAATCCCTTCTGGGACTGAGCTAGCGTTTATAGCATGGTCCCTTTCTTTATAGAAGCCAACCTTGGCAGTGGCCCAGCTAAGCTTTCTCTCATCCTCAGTGCTGAGGGTCTCGTGTAGCCCACTTAGAGCCTAGTACTCAGCCCCAGGCTGGGTTCTCTGTGGTCCCTGCACCTCACGCAGGACACGTGTGAACCTCACCCATTTCCACCACCCACCCAGCTGTCCCTGCTCAGCATCCTTCCCCAGTCGGAGCACCTCTGAGCAGCACGACCCTCATGCACTGCCGTTTCCTGCTTTGCTATAAGGGGCTTGCAGCTGATATCCGAGCTTGGCACCTCGGCTAGGAAGCATGTGGGTCTCATGGACCAGCCTCAGCTGCGTTCTGCATGCCCAGCCTCAACTAGAGCAAAGGGTAGGTTTTGCCAAAGAGAAAGGCGACCCAAGTCAGGGAGGGAGGCAATCGCTAGGCAACCTGGAGTTTGTTTCCCAGGTAACGGGATGCATGTACTGATGCTGTGGATGGACATCTTGTGGTGACGGCCCCTCAGCCTCTCCAGATGCCTTGGATGGCGCTAGATGCCTGCCTGTGGCCGCCGTCGTTTTCCTGTGTGGTTGCTTTTTAATTAACAACTTGGATTTCTTATCATTAGTGTGAACTCTGCAAATGCTGTCTGATTAACCCTCCTGGCACCACCCCTCGGAGTCAGGTCGGGGTGTCCCACGGGAGTCTGACCCTGGGCTTCGTAGTAGGTGTGGGAGGGAAGGAAGAATCTGTGGAGGAGCACGGGCCCTTTGGGGTTTGGCTGTCTCCCCATTTTCTTGGCAGAGGGGAAGGGCAGAGGCAGGAGCTTTAGTGTGTGGACCCCGAGTTGCCATCGGCTGCCCCACCTTTCAGCTGCTTCCTCCAGCGACCTCCTTTCCACTCTGTGCCTCAGTTTCCTCATCTTTTAAAGGGGATGGCAGTGCTGTCTTGAGGGTGAAGTGAGAGTGTAGGACTGCATGTGAAATTACTGCTCCTTCCCTTCCCTCTCTGCAGAGTGGGGGTAGGGGCGTCTCCAAGGGTCCTGTCTCAAGATGTCGCCCTTGGTCTTGGGGGAACCTTCTCCCTGTTTGCATACACCCGCCTCAGCCTCTCGTGTGATGGACCTGCCAGTTTGGCCAAGAGGAACACTAGCGGGGGGCTGGGCTCGCTGGCCCCCCAATAACAAACGGCCTCGGTGCCCTGCTCCCCACTTGCTGTGTGGGTCAAGGGCTGGTAAGGATGTGGGGTGGGGGGAGCCCCTGTTCTCTCCCAGTACACAAGATGTTGGGGCTCAGCTTCACTTGAATTCCCTGCTTTGGGGATCCAGGTGCTGGGGAGGCAGGAGGAGTTCGGCTGCCCCACAGGTTGGGAGGGACCACGGTCACTTGTGTGCCCCAGTCCAGGATGGAGAGAAAGCCACCCAGAGGTCACCTGCGCCCCCAGCCACTCCAGCCCATTCTGAAGCCAGGACAAAAGCCTTTTCTCTGCTCAAAGAGACGATTGTCCTGTGATGCCGCAGCTGCGGCGTGGGGGCACCGGCCCGGGGCAGAGGCTGCCGTGCGGCAGTCACGCAGGCACCGCGGGGCCGCCCTCCCCCCACACTGTGCAGTGCAAATGGGAACGTGGACGCAGCTCCAGACAGGGGATTTCCTCTTTCAGCTTCTTACTCAAGTGTGTGGCTAGTTGAGAAATGAGTCCTGGTGGTCAGGTAGGGGCCTCACACATCTGGGGCCCCAGTGGCCCCCCAGCGGCCATTTTAGGCTGCCAGGAGAGGACCCCTTTCAGGTGGTTCCGGGCTGAGAGGTGGAGGCCACACGGATGAGTGCAGCTTTGGCAGACGGCTCCTGCTTTGTCCGCTGGAGCCTGCACCCGCCGCCTTGCGGTCACACAAAGGCTGACTGGCCCCGAGAACATCACGTGCTCCTGGCAGGGGCCACAGGAGCCCCATCAAGCCCGGTGGCCCAGGTGACCATCATAGAAGAGGACAAGTAGATTCTGTGTGGGAGGAAGGAAACAGAACGGGCTGGCCTGGCCATGGTGCAGCAGCCACGATCAGAGTTTATCTGGACATCTGAAAGCTTAAGACACGCAGAAAGCTGCCTGGTTCTTGCTTGTCATCTGTGACACTAAACATTTCTGATTCGGCGAGAAAGCAGAAGTTGCCCCGCTTGGCCGTTTCAGTGCTGGGGTCCCTCCTGAAGCCCAGAGGTGGTTCTCATGAGGCTGGGGGTGGGTCATGGTGATTCGACACTGGGACAGGCAGTCAGGAGAGGCTACGAAATCCAACACCTTCCGGGGTATGAGTTTGAAGGGAATGCTTTTGTTGGAGAAAATGCTGCTCCTCTGTTGCCGAGGAGGAAGAGCCTGTGGCTCTTGTCTGCCTCCTGGGCTGGTGCATCTGCCCTGTGCCTACACCGCATGGTGTGTCCATGGGGCAGAGGGCAGACACTCCTTCCTCATTGGGATTGGAGGCGTTGCCACTGCCCTGTTGAGCGTCCTGCAAGCAGCTGTGCTGGTCTGCATGGAACAGCTGGAGAACCTGCATGTAGGCAGTGCGTGGGGGGACCAGCCCTGCCCGGGGCCCCTGCAGCTGTGGGTGTGGGTGTCCTTCATCTCTGTCGGGCGGCACCAGGACGGATGACCACTCTGACTGGTCCTGGTACCTGATGAGTGCTGCTCTCTCTGTGGTCCTTTGAGAAATTCCATTTGTTCTCCTGAGTCCCGGACAAGCCGCCTGCCTTCATGCACACCTTCTCCACCGCCTCGGACTAGCCGAGGCGAGGGTGGCCAAGGGCTGTGCCCAGAGCCTGTTTCCACCAGGGGTTTCTCCAGGCAGCTCACGCGGGATGCAGGCACCTTGACATGTCCCTCCCTTGTGTTTGTTTGGAACAAGAGCTGGTGCTAGGTGGAGGCAGAGGGGCCGAGAGGAGGAGCCCGTTCCAGCTTCGGGGGAGCCGTGGTCCTGGCCCCTTCTTGTGCCCCGAAGGTCTCTGGGCCTTGGACCTGGTCTAGGGGCTGACGGATGGCCAGCAGCAGTTGTGGGCTTGAACAGATTCCTTGGCCTGGGTTCCATGTGATGGAGTTAGCCCCACAGTGGCTACGTATGAGGTCACTGATGGAGGCCCAGGTCCCCACCTGGACCCCCACCCCCTACAGGCCCGGCAGACAGTATCTGACCTTCTGCAGTTCAGATGAGCTACGCAGATGTTCCCTCTCAGTCTCCTTACCTTGTGCCATAATCTTCTCTGACGGTTCCAGAGTAACCTGTGGTGTTTGAGCACAGGGGAGCCAGGGCTGGAGGGTGTACCCCTCACCACTTTATGGGTTCACTGCCAGCCTGGGGAATAGGGAGGGAGCTGTGGCGACAGTTGGAGTCCTGCAGACCTGAGAGGTGTGGGGGTCGGAGTGGGGCAGGGGCTTCTCACTGGGAACCCCTGCACGTGGAAGCAACCTGGCCCCTCATCGCATTGTCCCATGGTATGTGGAACAGGCCACTTGGTCCGCTCACCGAGTCTTCCTCCTCTCCTCGCAGGTATCCGCCCCCAGATCATGAACGGCCCCCTGCACCCCCGCCCCCTGGTGGCGCTGCTCGACGGCAGAGACTGCACCGTGGAGATGCCGATTCTGAAGGACCTGGCCACTGTGGCCTTCTGTGATGCACAGTCCACTCAGGAGATCCACGAGAAGGTGGGCCCCCCACCCCGCCCCACAGGGCAAGTGCCCCCAGGTCAGGTGGCAACAGCTGGCATTCAGCAGGTACATGCTCTGCCATCCTGATGGGTTTCCTCTTGTTTCCACCCTTAGATCTCCCCCTGGCTAGTTCTTCTCACCTCCCCTCAAATGTCACCTCCTCAGACCTCCCTGTCCCATCCCCACACCCCATTGTGTCGCCCAGAATCACCAGCAGGCCCCCAAAGCACAACCGCAGGCCACTTGTCTGGGGGGAGCTGTCACACCCAGACCGTGTCCTCAGCTGGTCATTTTCCTACTGAAATCCTCTGCTGTGGGTTCAGGGGTGACGAGGGGCCTCCAACCTGTGCTCTGCCTGCCCTGCCACAGGTGTTAAACGAAGCTGTCGGCGCCATGATGTACCACACCATCACCCTCACCAGGGAGGACCTGGAGAAGTTCAAGGCCCTGAGAGTGATCGTGCGGATAGGCAGCGGCTATGACAACGTTGACATCAAGGCTGCCGGCGAGCTTGGTGAGTGCGCGGCCAGAGGGACTGGCTCACACACCCACAACCACAGAGTGGCTATTCAGAGGGAACCTTGCCAGGCACACCCCCAAATGCACAGGTAGAAGGGTGCCTGCTGGATTCAGAGGCCCCACCTATGCTGGCCGGGCTGGGCTGCCTCACTTGGGAAGGAACCGAAAGCCAGACGAACCGTGGGCCCTTCCCAGTGGAGGGGACCGTGTGAGTGGCCACACGGCAGTATTGGCTGGCAGGACCCATTACCCTGAAGTACCCGTGCTGGGTGCACAGCTCAGGGCTCCGGGGGTGGGGAGCCTCTGTTTCTGGGTCTCCTCTAGTCCTGCAATGGAGCCATTTCTGAGGGCCCTGGCGTGGTGGCCTTCCTGTCACAGCACCTGGTGTGGGCTCCGTGCACAGAGCGTTTGCAGAGGCTCAAGGAGCCGAGCACTGAGAGCAAGCGTCCCCGGGCCGCCCTGCTGTCTTTTGGAGGGCAGGAAGGTCCATCTAGACGAGCCCCTCTGGTCACTGTCCTTGCTCTGTTTTTGAACTATGCTAGCCCTGCACCTGGGTGTGTGGGGCCGTGCCCTGCCTGCCAAGCACTGAGGTGCCCAAAGCCAGGAGGCTGCTGAAGGGCACCTCAAAATGGCGAGGAACCCAGGCCTTTATAGCCCCCAACCCTCGGACTTTGTTGAGGTCCCGATGGGCCTAACGGCAGCCTGGCCTGGTCTGTGGGCCAGTTATCCGTCCCCCTGCCCACCTCCACCCTGAATCAGCCTCTCAGCGCCCACTGCGGGCCCTGGGCTCCAGGGACAGGACAGGCTGGACGTGTGCGATGCCTCACATGGTCATATCGGCGTCGTATCTGAGCAGGAGCTGCAAGCATCTGACAGTCCGGCCGCAGCCCACGGATGCCCACCTGCCCTTTTCAGCCTCTCCAAGGTCCCAGCCTGGGGTTTCGAGTGAGGGCCCAGAGTTTGTTTTAGCTGTTAGTTCCCCCATTTGAATTTGGGGCAGCACCCCGATGCCTGACCCGCAGGGTGAGTGAGGCCTGGGGGCAAGAGCAGGGCAGGGGAGCCTGGCCATGGTGGGGCCTGAGTGAAGCTGAGTCCGCTTGGATTCCCCGTGATGGCGCCGGGCGCTCTGCAGAGTGACAGGTTCTCTGGGAGTGTGGAGGCAGCAGGTCGGGTTTGCCCCACAGGCGAACCCCGAAGGAAAAGGCAGGAGGCAGCCATTCCTCCCAGGAGCTGTCTTCCCTCCCCCTCCTGGAAGGGGGAGCTGTGCAGCATGTGGCTCAGAAGATTGAACCTGGTTTTTCTGGGGGCTCAGTTGCCCCCATACAGGCGGAGAAGGGGTTGCGTCAGATTCCAGCCTCCCTTTGGGGTCTGGGGAAGTGATGGCTGCCCGCATCCACCCCAAGCGTTTGCTTCCAGCCTCAGCATCACTCTCAGCCCCTCTTTGTTGCAGCAAAGAAACTTGGGAGGATGTGAGTCTTCAGAAGAATGCATAATGTAAACTAAAATTTTCCATTTTTTTCCCTGGCACCAACAAGAATATTTTTGTTTGAAAACAAATGTTCTCTGTGCTCTTGGTAGAGCTGAAATCCCAAGTCTGAAGAGCGACAGAGAATATGGTGTAACGCGCCGAGGGCTCTCAGATGTGTTTCCTTCACACACCTTCCCGTTCCTGCAGCATGTCTGCCCTCACAAACAGATCCTGGCATCACAGCGGCCCAGTGTCGTGTGAGGTGTTAATGCTGAGCTTCCTCGACAGGAACCAGTCACTTCTTTCCAGGGAGAGATGGGAGGCTCTCGTGAGTGAAACTTTCCATTTCTCCAGTTGCAGAAGCTCGCCGAACAGACAGGGCGGGCCCAGGGCAGAACCTCATTTCCCTAAAAAGCAACGGTGCTCAGCCCACTCAGCCCCATGTCTGCACTCAGCAAGGAGGCCCCAGGGGAGAGGCTGTGTTCCCAGGATTCCCGCAACCCACCGAAGACGGCCAGGGCCTACGAGTTTGGAAAACATGGAAGGGATATCAGCGGTGGCATGTCTATTGGTCCTGGTCCAATCTCATAAGGGGGCTGCTTGGGAGACATCTGCTGGGCCATTTTGAAGGGCAGTTTTCAAATGTGGGATGTGGAGAAGGAAGATGGGCCTCTGTCCAGCCATCCTTTGTCTCTGAGTGCACTTCGCTGGTCATTCAGTCAGCGGACCTGTGACGAGGGCAGGACAGCGGGCGGCTGCACGGGTGCCCCTCCTGACAAACACCACAAGGGGGTTCCTGTCAGGCCCGGGGGGTCTAGTTCCTGGGGGGCAGCTCCCTCTCCAGTGCACACTGGAGGAACCCTCCAGGGGCCCGGGCACCCACCTCCAGCCCAGGGACGATGAGCGAGAGTCCGTGCTTTGTGTTAAGAGCTGGCTTTGGCGGCGAGGACAGTACCTGGAGCCAGCAGAGGGATTCTCTCCATCAGCAGTGTCTCCCCAAAAACAGCAAGAAGCAGGGGGTGGGAGGTCTCTGGAGGCCTCGAGAGCCAAGGCCGAGGGAGCCTGACTTCCAGTCTGGTCCCATTAGAAGGGGTTACAGCAAAGAGTAAAAGCATTGACAGTGAGAGGAAAAGCGGCTCAGCTCTTGGGCCTGGGCTCCATGGAGGCTGGCAGTCTTGCTCTGTGGGAGCTGGAGGCTGGTCCTAATAGTGTTTGAAGAATCACGCCAAAGGTAGACCACACCAACCAACCTGAAGAACGGTTTAGAAAGAGTTCCACCTCAAGAGGGCAATCAGGCTATGGAGTTTCTGGAGGAAGGCACTGATGGCATCCAGGCAGGATGGACCAGGCAATGCCAGCAGCACCTCCTCCCCGTCCTTGGTCCAACCCAAGCCCCTGCACACTCTCTCCCAGTCCTTGATCCAACCCAAGCCCATGCCCACATTCCCACTCCTTGGTCTTGGGCTCTCCCTACAGGCACTGGAGGCCCAGGAGCTCCATTCCAGAGTTGTGGGATGAAGGCTGAGAGGTGTCCCCCTCAGTCGCTCATGCCCAGGGTGGGTTGATGTGGTGTTTTATCTCACGTCTTCACACAGATTCTCTCATCCAGTGTCCTCTCGTCTCATCTCCCAGGATGCAGCCAGTCCCCTGGGCCCAGGCAGTTGGCTGAGTTACAGCAGAAGGTCCACGCTCAGCTGTTCTGCTCTTGGGCCTTCCCGCTGGGCTTCAGCCAGAACAAATGGAACCCCTCAGAGGAATGAAAATTGTCCCCAACTGCCAACAGATTTTCTTAAACCTCTGGCATCTTCCTCCATCCAATAATGCCATGGCTTCTAGTCTAGCCCAAGTTTTGTGCTTGGTTATTTCAAATGAAGTAGGCCACGTTGTGGGTGTTCTGCAAAATTCCTGACTTCTAGCTTGTGGAAAGTCTGTCAGCCCAGATCTCAATAAAACACGTATCCCCTGCAAGGTGGCTGTGGCCATGTGGGGTGTGTGGAATGATGTGCTCATGGGTGCTTTCACTCTCTTGAGTTGTCTGTTCTCCTGAGAGGGGTCACTGAGACCCTGGACCTCAGGGCAGCCCTCATGGGGTGGCGACACAGCTGCTCCGTTGGTCCTGTTTCCCATCCAGTGGAGCCTCAGTTGCCGTGGCACTCTGTGCCCCACACCCCAACTTGAGGAGATAGAGGAATGCAGGGCTGCCTTACCGTGGCCCGGCCGTGCATCCCTGGGTGTCCCTCCTGGGGTCCCAAACCTGGGATTAAGGGAGCAGTTTGAGCTGGGCAACATGCTACCCAAACACCTATGCCCTTCCTCAGAAAGCTGCTTGACTGGCAGACCCCAGCCTGGCTTCTAAGCGACACCCCCCCCCTCCCCCCCGCCACACATACAGGCCCCCATCCCTGGTGAGGCCCTTCTGCTCTCTGCTGCATCCCAGCCCTCGCCAGGGGGAGGGGGGGGTAGGCCTGTGGGGTAGCAGGGAGGGGCTGTTCCCAGCCTGGCCCTCTGCATGCCTGCACCCCTCCCATGTCTGGCAGATATTCGCATTCCTTCCCCAAAACACCGTCCCACCAAGGAAGGTCAATGCCCAGCCCTTCCTGCCTGAGATCTGGGGTGGTTTTCCCTGGAGCCCCTCGGCCACGGGTCCCCCACGCTGGGAGACTCTTGGCCCTCGTCTCTGTTCCTCACACAGAGCCAAGGTGCTCTCAGCCCCAAAAGCTCTTTCAAAAAGCAGGCCCAGCATCCTGTCTGCTCTGTTGTCTCTCTGCCAGAGCAGGATGGTGATCCGGGCCCACTGAATGAACGTGGGGCTGGATTCAGGGCCAGCTCCATTCTGTCCCGGCCTGTGGGCCCATGGTGGGGTGGTTTCTAATTCTTACATTATTTTAAACAAGTAATGATATGTTTGTTGCGTTAGACTCTTAAAATACATAAGACAGAAAGCCGGTCTCCATTACCCCTTCCCTCCAGGAAGAGGATCCTGGAGGGGCCCTGCAAGGAGTCTCCGGTCTTCTGGACACCATGGCCTGTCAGGAAGGGGCCCTGCACCCTGGCTTCCTGCTGCTCCTCCAGGCCCTCCCTCAGAACAAGGGGACCAGGGCCGGGGCTGGGGCAGGTTTCCAGCTTTTTGGCACTGGATGTGGATGGTGGTCAGAGCTGGCCACCTCACCTCCAGCTGCCCACTGCTCACTTCCCCCAGACAGGGGGTCTAGAAACACAGGGTGGGCAGGATGTGGGGTCCATGGGGGGCCTGGGAGAAAGCTGCTCACACCCCAGCTAAGACTACCAGGAGTTGGGCTGGGGTGAGCAAAGCCCTGGACAGAAGTCCTCATTGGGCAAGATGTGGGGGCTAGAGTCCCCTGAGCATCAGAGCCAGAGAGCCTGTGACCCTCAGGTGACAAGCAGGCCTCAGAGACCCTGACCTGCCCAGGGCCACACACCCAGTTAGTGGCTTAATGGCCAACTCTGCCTTCCCTGTCCCTCAGCTAGACTGGGAGCCCTGGAGCTTCCCCCAGAACTGGAGGGTCCTCATCACGGGGCCTTGCCCTTGTCCTTTCCAGGGATCGCCGTGTGCAACATCCCGTCTGCGGCAGTGGAAGAGACGGCCGATTCCACCATCTGCCACATCCTCAACCTGTACCGCCGGAACACGTGGCTGTACCAGGCGCTGCGGGAAGGCACGCGAGTACAGAGCGTGGAGCAGATCCGGGAGGTTGCCTCGGGAGCAGCCCGCATCCGTGGGGAGACGCTGGGCCTCATCGGCTTCGGTACGTGCGGCTGCCCTGCCCTGTCCCCCTACACCACCAGGCCTGGCACAGGGACCCCTTGGGAGAGGCAGACCCAGCCCTGCCCTGCAGGGGCCCAGCGATGGCCCGTGCCCTGGGAGTTGAGGTTCATTGTGGGGGTGCCTGTGAGAGGACTCCTCTGTAAGTTAGAGGAGGGCCAGTGCCTCCTGGCGAGCTGCATGGGGTGGGAGGTCAGAGGTCAAAACTGATCAGAGAACTCACCCAGAGGTAAGATCTGGGCTGCTTCTGGAAGAATGGGTCTGATTTGACTGGATAGAGAGGACACAGCGGGAAGGGGCTGTGTTGGCTTTGCAGAGGGTAAAGGGCAGGGACTGTCCAGAGGTGCCTTGTAGAGAAACAAGCTGGCTTGGGGTTCGAATAGGGGCTAAATAAGTGAGCAGAGACCTGGGCCGTGGTGGGCAAGGCCCAGCACCTGGAGGCCCTCAAATGCCTGGCTAGGGTTGCAGCGGGGAGTCACTGAAGGATTTTGAGCCAGAAGGTGGCGCAGTCGGGTCAGCAGCTTGGAAAGCCCACCTGAGAGGTGGGGCAGGAAAAGGTCTTCCTGGAGTTGGCCGTTGCCCCAGGTGAGACATGGCTAGCGGCCCTGGGAGGGTCTGGGGCAGGTTTCCAAGGAGAAGGTGAGCCATGATGGAAAGCAACCTGATGCCATGGCTGTTGGCAACACAGGGGCTTGAGTAGGGCCCCCACGTTGCATGAATCTCAACCCCACCACTTACTAGCTCTGTGACCTTAAGGAAATTACTTCTTTCTTTCTCAGTTTCCCAAAATGTAAACTGGGATTGGAGCAATACACGGTGGCTGCCTCTTAGGACTCAAAGAAGGCATGAGAAGCATGTGGGTGGGTAGTAAATACTTGGGCTGGCTTCTAGAAGGCCCCCAAGCTGTCACTCAGCCCTTAGCTCGGAGCTCTGTGTTTCCAGTAACTGAGGGTCAGGACTCCTTGCCCCACAAGTCCCCGCTGCAGGCCTGGGTGCCAGCTTGAATGAGGCAGAAGGAGCTGGGTTTCTTCCAGGAATGCACATCTTTCCAGCACCTGGGGTCTGAGTTCAGAACCCAGGTATTAGGGATATTCACACAGGAAGCTATTCTTTTAAAACTATTTACAGAGGAGTCCACCTTACTTCAGTTTTCTTGAGCAGACGACTGCAAAATGACTCTTAAGAAATGTGGATGTGCTGTGTGAGGGCCGCAGCGCCCTCTGCTGGCGCCCGCCTGGCTTCCCTTGCTGGGAAGTGGCTCTCAGAGATGGTTCTTAGAACTTCATGCATCTTTAAGCCCTGCAGGGGAGGAGCCCTCGGGTGGGCTCAAGGCAGGATGCAGAGCCTCAAGTTGTGAGTGGCCCGGCCACGTGCTGGCAGCCTCACTGGCAGAACACCTCTTTCAGTGGCTTCTGACTCCAGCCATCACAGCAAGTTCTCACTGGAGTTTCTTTGGCTGTGCCCTTTGCCACCCATCTTTTGGAGACCCTTACAGTATACTGAGGCCAGGCCCGTGGTTTCAAGCACTGTTTACTCAACTGTAAGCCAAGCACTGTCACAGTCCCAGTTCCCCACACACACTGATTGTGTTGTCTCCTTGCTACCTTTCCAGGTCTCCCCATAGCCTTCCAGAACTGTAGACAGAACTGAGACAGGAAGAGGCACGGTCGTAGGCAGCCTAATCGCCACTGCTGCCACCCTGTCTTTTAGGGGTTTGAAAGTGCTCACTTGCCTAAGGTTCGGCCCAGGAGCAGCAGCAGAACCCGGAGTGTGGGGCAGAGTTCCGCCCAGCCCAGCCCAGCCCAGCCCAGCCCACGCTGCAGTGGAGGGGCCTGACGGGGAGGGCCCTGGCTGGACCCCAGCTCTGGCTGGGTGGGATGGTGCTCAAGGATAGCCTCCGGGTTGGGAAGGTCAGTGAATGGTAGCAGTATTTCATGGGGGGTGGGGGCAAGCTGATTGAGTTCTCGGTCTCCGAGGCTGGGTTCTGATGGAGCCAGTAACAGAATTAAGTCATTAGGTCTTGTAGTATTTAGTCAAGATGGCTCACGGCTAAAGCAGAAGCCAGTGAGAAGATCAGGGTTTGTGAATTGATGAAAAGCAACGCCCCCGGGAGAAAAGGCCCAGCGCTTCTGTGTTGAAATCTGGGCTTGGCGCCCTCGAGCCCCTGGAGCTGCAACTGGGAAGCCCCGTACCGTATTAGAGTGTGTGAGGTCCTGGAAGTAAGGAGGTGGCTGAGGGCCCTTGAAATGGGCAGGAGGAAGGCATTATCATGCTGGGCGTGCGCTCCCAGCAGCTACGTCATGGGGTCCTTAGTTCCGTGTTTCAAGTACGTCACTGGGGGATCTTGTAGGTTGCAGCCGCTCTTCCCTCTACCCCATCACCCTTCATCATGATGCTCCTCTGCCCCTCACCGGGGTGTGTGGCTCTAGTTCTCGTTCACTGCATCCAGGTGGTGACACTGAAGAGGGATGACACAAGGGACGATGACCCTGATTACCCTGCAGCTGTGCTCTTGGTCAGAGTGGCCTTATTTAACCTTTGCCTCCAGACCACGTCCGTTGTCTCAGTCGTGCCCAGTTAGATCACAGGTCAGCAGGAGGGGAGGACACTCCACCACTGAGGCGCCCTTGCCTGGGCCTCCTGCCTGGGAAGGTGCATCTCTCCCCTTGTGCTCTTCTCCCTCCTTGCACAGTTGAGCAATGGTTTTAAATAAAGGTTTATTCTGTGCTCGTCCCAGATCAGCCCCTTCCAGCATCACTCACACCATTTTGTTTTCAAGCTGAAAACTGCCCTGGGAAGCAAGAGAAGCTATCCTGAGACTGATGAGTTTGCGCAGATGAGACGGCCACTCAGGAGTCAGGGGGCCTTCGTGTCCTGTTAGGTGACGTCGGTGTCTAACTTGCTGGAGGCCCAGGCTGCAGGCTGGAGAGGGGCCTGAGGCTCTGCCAGCGGCTCAGGGCCTGGCCTGTATCTCCGAGAATTAGCCTGATGGACACATGCCCCACCTCTCGGCCACAGCAGTTTCCCGTGCCGATTTGTGCTCAGACCGAGCTGCAGTGGTTGGTTTTGATCACTTTACCCTTTCCATGAGCAAACCCAGCGGTAATTAGGCAGGAGAAGGTTCTCTGTTAGATGTTGAAAACAATAAAGAGATGAAGCTCAGGGTAAGAAGGCTGCTGTGTCAACAAAAAAGTAGGGGAGGAGAGAGAGTTACAAATGGGGGAATATTGACGATGGTTGGAGCTGGGGGAGGGCTCGTGGAGTTGACTAGAACGTTCCCTAGTTGTGTTTATGTTTGAAAATATACATAATAGGAAAAAAAAAAAACAAGCAACCAGTGGCCAATCCAGACAACAGATACTGCCATCCTAACACAGGACGCTTGGCTTCGCTTCGGCCCCGGTGACTTGGGGTGAAGTGGCAGCCATGGGCGTCAGCAGGCTCCGGGCACATGGTTCCTCTCGTCGGTCCCGCTGCCAGTGGGGCAGCAAGCCCTGGCTCCAGGTTGGCAGCAAGGCTGGGGCACTGTGCAAGGCCCCGGCGTCAGGAGTGCCGAGCGCTGGCGGGAGAGGCCGTGGACTTGCTCACCTGGACGCTCTCTTTCTGCACAGGTCGCACGGGGCAGGCGGTTGCCGTTCGAGCCAAGGCCTTTGGATTCAGCGTCATATTTTATGACCCCTACTTGCAGGATGGGATCGAGCGGTCCCTGGGCGTGCAGAGGGTCTACACCCTGCAGGACTTACTGTATCAGAGCGACTGCGTCTCCTTGCACTGTAATCTCAACGAGCATAACCACCACCTCATCAATGACTTCACTATCAAGCAGGTAATTGGAAATCGATGCCTTCAGACTCTGGAAACTTCTATCAAAATGGAAGGGGGGATGGGAAATGGTCCACAGACACACCAGCGACCAGGGAAGGAAGTCCCCTGAGACACATCAGTGCAGAGCCAGGTGAGGCCCCCTCTACATGGTGGGCTGGGTAGAGCAGGGAGGGGCCAGAGCTGGCCCAGGACCCAGCAGGGGCCTGTCCTATTCAGGCCTGGCCTCCAAGAAGCTACAGGCAGTTGACAAGTCACAGCTCCAACCTTCCCGCCTTGTGGCCCTCCCTCAGGATCAGCAGAAACTGATCCCTGGCCTCCAGCTGTCACTGAGACTCCGCACTCCCTTCCCCCCACACTGCTGCCCACGCATTCAACAGCCGGACCAACAGAACTCCTGGTCTGCGGCTTTCCTCTTTAAACCTCGGTGTGAGCGCCTCCCAAGGCGATGGCATGCATTGAGCCAGCTTTTCCTTCCCCCTACAGATGAGGCAAGGAGCATTCCTAGTGAATGCGGCCCGTGGCGGACTGGTGGACGAGAAGGCCTTAGCCCAAGCCCTCAAGGAAGGCAGGATACGAGGGGCAGCCCTCGATGTGCACGAGTCGGAGCCTTTCAGGTGGGTCTGGCAGGCTGCCGAGATGTTTGTGGCCCATGCTCCCGGGCTCACACCGAGATTCACAGGGCCCGCATGTATACCTGACCCCCACACTTTGAACGTGGGGCGCTTTCCCAGAGAAACAGGTCCTGGGTAGGAAGCTGGAGACAAAGTTGACAGCCTCCGTTCCTCTAAGGGCTGTGCTTTATGCTCACTAATTGTAAAAGGGCCAGAAGGTCCCCAAAGGTCATCAGAAAGGGGAGAGGCAGAAAAGTGCTGGTGGTGGTAGGTTTGGTCTACAGATGAGCAGGCTTCATCTGTACCCTGGACTGTTTGTGCTGGTGGGAGGTGGGCAGGCTGGCCCTCTGAGTCCCTGATGACTCATGACATGGTATTACAAAGCAGTTTTAATAAGTATGTTCTTAAATCCCCAACCCTTAGGAAATAGACTACAAAATACCCCTCGATTTTATCTGTGTAGCCAGTATTCTGCACGGCCAAGAGCTCCCTTTTGATGGGAGGAATAGTGTGCATTCAACTTTCTCTTTGACTGTTTTTTTACATTTATCCAGCTTTGCTCAGGGCCCCTTGAAAGATGCACCGAATCTCATTTGTACACCCCACACAGCCTGGTATAGTGAGCAAGCTTCACTAGAGATGAGGGAGGCAGCTGCCACCGAGATCCGCCGGGCGATCACAGGTGAGCCCTCCCGCCTCGTCCTTTCCGCTGCACCCGGGCCTGCTGAAGGGCAGCCACCTCTGCTCGGTGACAGACACACAAACGGGGTTACGGGGGCTCACCACGGGCAGAAATAGTTTCTACGGATCACCCTGATTAAATTTGGAATGAGTTGAGCCCTCTTTATGCAAGCCTGGAACTAAGTTTCAGAGGAAACCGATTCCCTTGTCTATCAGCCAAGGTAAGTATTGCCAATTGTGGGGGATGAGCCCTCCGATGGAGCAGGCGGGAGGCTCCTTTCTGTTCTAGCTGAAGGCCAGAGTCCAAGAGCCTGGTGCTTGGGCCCTGGGACATCTCACCTTTTGTAAAAATCAAACGGCCAGCCCCTTTCATTATAGAGTGAGAGACTTGACTACAAGACTTCCATTGGTACGAACTTTGGAGGTTATTTCCCCCAGAAGCAGCTACTCATTATGACCTTAAAAAATACATATGATTAATTTTAATCATCTTATTCCAGGTCGCATCCCAGAAAGCTTAAGAAACTGTGTGAACAAGGAATTCTTTGTCACAACAGCTCCCTGGTCAGTAATAGACCAGACAGCGATGCATCCAGAGCTCAATGGTGCCACATACAGGTGAGGAGAGGAACGGGATCTGGCGCAGCCGTGAGGGCCGGGGGAAAAGGGGGAGAGGGGCAGGAACTTGGGGAGATTAACCCAACCCAGGCGCTAAAGACAGCCCAGCGCTCCCAGCAGGAATTACGTACACTGTCCTCTCAGTCTTCCCATGCCCGATTTCCATGGAAGCAACATAGCTTTCAGGATACAGCCTAGACTTGATGTTCCTATTTTAAAAGCCAGTGGGGGTGGGAGTGCATTTCCCCAATGGGTGTGAACACTGGGCCAGGAATCACCCCCTCATTCCAAAGGCACTTCAAAACCAGAGGGTTTCTAGTTGAAAAGGTACTGGAAGAATCTTCAAGGGAAAGGGCCTGCTGGTGATTTCGTTTTCTAATTTGAATCTTCTTCCAAGGAAAGCCTTCTGGCCAAAGCCCAGTGCTTTCAGCCAGGGAGACTGCCCTTGTACACCCCATCCTCAGTGAAGCAGCAGGTTTGACAGGGGGCGTGACAGGGAGTCTGGGTAAACAATGTGACTGAGGCAATGCAAGGGCCACGAGCCAGGTGCCCTTAGAAGGGGCAGGGTTTCATCTGTGGTAGTTTTCCCAGGTTCTCCCCAGCGTTTCTGAGTTCCAGGGAAATAGCTCGTCCTGCATCAGAGAGAAGCTGCAGCCTGGGAGGCCAGGACAGTTTTGCTTTGCTTACTCTAATGCAGGGTGGCCTCACCTGGGCAGCACTCACACGCTGGGCCAGACCAGACCATTCTCTCATGGGGCCCGTCCTGTCCACCGGAGCGTGGCTAGTAGCAGCCCCTCTCACTCCCGAGACTACCGAAAATGTCTCTAGAGGTTGCCTGATGTCCCTTGTCACAAACCACTACTCTAACCATGGAGACGGGGGCGGGGATGGTTAAATACAGTTTGTGTAACAGGACCCACACACGAAGGCGGACTCTGAGGAAGCTATGCCGTTTCTTCCTGGGACACATGGCTTTATTTACATTTCAGTTTGGCATGTTCTATTCAAGTCCCACCCACTTTTTCCCCCTCATAAGCATTTTCAGGTATCATTACTTGAGCCTGTCACAGCACCACATTCCCTTGTTCATTATTGTTGGCAGCCTACCCTTTATGGGCCATGTCGTAATTATTCGTTAGACAGAACAAGGCTCCTGGCCCTCTGGAGCACTGCTTGTGCTGGTGGGGCTGCAGCCCACAGCAGTCCTATCCATCAGAGTCCTGGAGAGGCCCCCGGGATTGCTGACCAGTTCAACATGTGACAGGCTGTGGGATAGGGGGTCAGGGTGGTTTCCACAGGAAGAAAAGCCAACCCCTTTACCCCAAGTATAAAGGGTTTGATGACTGAGAATAAGACTCATTCTAAAGCACCTACCTCGTATGTTTCATCCTCATAAGAATGTTTAAATATACCAAGTCACATTTGTGCCTAAGAACCACGTGTTCTGTAAGTGGCTAATGCCACATGTCCTCACACACACAGCAACTCCAGTGCCTGAAATATCAGAGGAGGCCACATCAGGCACCCTCAGAGGAGGGCAGGCACCAAGTCCATTGCCAGCTTACCACTTCCCCTGCTGCTACCCCCCTCCCTTTGACATCTCAGGCCACGGGAACACACATAACTGACCAGCCTGGAAAGCCACATTTAATGTCAGAGTACTTCATGCTGTCTGTTAGGAACTATAACTAATGAATACTTTCTAAAGCAACTGGAAAACTTGGGAGTCTTTTTTGTACAAAATGTTTCCCAAATGCAGTCCAGTGTCTACAGATATAATTATTATAATTAGTATGGGCTATTCTTACTGTCAAAAGGCACAAAATTAGCGGCCCGTTTTATGAATCAAATGTCCATGTTACAGATTTTTTTAAATATAGATTTCTCTATGTTTTGGGGGTAGGAAAGATGACAAACTGTCCCATAAAAAAGACCAGAAAAATAGAGCCAAGAGCTTGGCAGCTTCCTGCCCTGGACTTACCAGCCTTTCTGTGTGCTCCTTAGATACCCGCCTGGCATCGTGGGCGTGGCTCCAGGAGGACTTCCTGCAGCCATGGAAGGGATCATCCCCGGAGGCATCCCGGTGACTCACAACCTCCCCACAGTGGCACACCCTTCCCAAGCTCCCTCTCCCAACCAGCCCACAAAACACGGGGACAATCGAGAGCACCCCAACGAGCAATAGCAAAGAATGACGAAAGGTAATCACTCAGATAAACCTGGGACCAAGAGACAGTGAAAAATAGATGAACTAAAAGAAAAGGAATTTGACAGTCTGTCTTTTTAACTGATTCTGGACATATGCATCATTGACGTTGCAGTGTTAAAACTACAAAAGAGCTAGAAGCTGAGACGTGGGAAAACTGAAGATGTCGTCTGCTTATGGAAGCGCTGAAAGACTAGGACGTGATTTATTAACGACCAACTTCTGTTATTGTGTGTTAAGTTTTTCATCTGTGCATCAAATCACAAAGAATAAATAGATCTTTTTCCTTTATCAGTCCCTTGGGCACAGCAGGTCCTGAACACCTTGCTCTAGAATGTTGCATCAGGAGTTCCAAACATCAAAATAAAAAATTTTAAGAGGAAATCCCCATCCTATGACTCTAGTCCCTTCAGTCCATGGGGGCTGGTTACCTCTTTTTCTAATAGGAAGATTCAGTTACTACAAAATGGGGAGAAAACTGTTTGCCTGCGTTAGACATCAGCACGCATAGGATTGAAGACCGTACAGGCTCCTGTACAGAAGTCTCTCTCCCATCTGAACTGCATACTGAGCGGGCAAGTTGGTTGTGAGTTCAGTAATACCCTCTGATGATGCAAAAAAAAAAAAAAAAAAAAGTATTAAGTTTCACAAGCTGTTTGTACTCAAATATATTTTCTCAGTTTCAGATCCTCAGCTATTTTATTGAGTGGAAAGTCTTGAACTAAAGGGTTCAAGAATAATGTTGCATTTCCTTATGTCTCAGGAAACACTTTTTATGGTAACTTGTCAGATTGTCTATGAACAAACCCACTTTTTTAGACATTGATAAAAGTCTTCTTTTCTTCACGTGATATTTTATACAAGAACACTTCAGGTGTGTTATTAGATGTGACTGATTTTAACAAATCCTATTAGATTTGTATCAACTAGTTACATGTTATATTCATAGTCTTTTGTGAATCATCGCCTTTTTGTTTAAAAGATGGCCTATTTTGAGCCTTTGTATAGGTACATTCCTGTTTTTGTGACAAAAAAACAACCTTTAAAACTGTCCCAAACAGAAAAATAATGGCTATCAGAAATATGTTTTGTTTTAGTGTGAGTTACCGTTACTGTATTTGTTTATTGTAAAGGTGGACATTTAGCGTTCAGTGCAGTTTTCAATAAAAAGTAATAAAAATTTCTGTTAAGTTCTGAAATTCAAGTACATCTCACCAATGTAAAAGTTCTCTACTTGAGATGTTTAAAGGCAACTGCATTTTCAATCAGCCGATTTCCAACTCTTGTTACTCCAGGGTTCAAAGAGGAACAATACTTTTCTGTCTGCCTAGTCCATAACCAGGCTCAAGAATGCTGACGATTACCTCATGTGTAAGAGTTTAATTGAAAAATCAAAACCTCACATAACTCCCTCATTATCAAATCATGCCATCCGTAAGATGAAATAGTGGGTTAGAACTAAGTCAATTCAAGAAACAAAATTGGTCAAGTTTTAGAGTTTTGATTTTAATTTACCCAAAAGCAAAATTACCTGGCTCAAGCATTAATGCAGGAAGGGAGGTGAATCTCAAAAAAAAAATTTAATGATATTTACAAAGAAACGTTGCAAAATAATTAACATCAGCCATTCCCACATGTTTGTTAAGAACTTTAAGTTGACTAAACGATCTTCCTTTTTCAATAGTGGTGTCTGCAAGTGTCAATCAAGTCCAACAGCTCCAAGTACCAAATTCCCTTCGACCTCTTCCTTCCCATTAAAATAAAAGTCATGGCGTCTTAAAACATCAACCTCCTCACTCATTTTAACATGGTGGTCCCATCCCAGCTGTCCCATGAACAATTACATTAAGACAACCTCACATGGATAGAGATGGAGCACACAGTTAGTTACTGACCTATCACTCCAGAGAGCAGAGTGATAGTTCAATACCATCTTCATGACCCCTCAGAGGCAATTAATGATGGGATGACACGCGCAAAAAGGAGACACCCCACGGGACCCCACCCGCAATCGCCTGTGAACAGTATTCCCTTAACACAGATTAAGTCTGGGACATAAGGAGCTTAAGAGTCAAAAACATAAAAAGGGAGGTCCAAATCCACAGTGCACCTGGGTTTTGTTTAATGAGAACAGAAAACCTCACCCTGTCTCCCTAGAAAACGGACCATAAAGTTAAGACCACACAGTTAAGGTATTACTGTCCAGAGTCAACCAAAAGACATGCACATCTGTCACCCAACCACGTATAATCTTTGAGAAAGGACTGCATACTCTGTCTTGGGGCAACAATTATGGCTGTTTAATAGTTCAAGAGCTTAACATAGCATTTATTCACTCAAAATTTTGGCTTTTACCAGCCAATCCGCTGTGAAAACCATTTAAAGCCCCATTCCTTGTCTGGAGCCTAGGAAATGGAATCCTCTATAATTCTTTCCCACAGGGAAGAATGCTGTACCTGTTAAATTAGATGTAGTCGGGGTCACTGATTATAAATAAATAAATAAAGAGGCACCTCAGGGATAACAACACTCAGCAGACCACAACACACAGAGGCTAAACACTGAGCCTGTAATTTTCTGGACAGCGCTGACTGCAGTGTAGACCACAGTGACTAGATGCTTCTCCCTCAAACATTTCTCTTTGGCTTCTTCAATTGAGAGGGTAGTTTTTGTTTAACAGAAACTAGAACAGGATTTCTGCCCATTAAAGAATTATTCCTATATATGGAGAAAAGTTCAGAGATGCTCCACTACTAAGTAGTCAGAATGGCAGCCTTCTAAAAACTTGACTAAAATGAAAGCAAACCACAGAGAGTCAATTTGTAAGAAAACATGACCCACTTGGAACAGTACCATTTATCATTATATCAAAATTCATTCATATTGCAAATACTTTTCCTGCAAGTTTTAGCATGCAGCAAAAGTGATCCTTTCATCCTGAGAACACCTTTCAGTGAGTGTTCTGAGAGGGGAGAAAGAACTCAAGACATGACATCTCATAGGTATGCTTCTATTTTTAGTATTCCAGCATCAAATTTAAGGTTGTGTACATTTCAATACCATCTATACAGAACTTAGAAGAAAACAAGAAGTAAATATTTAAAGGTTTTCACAGCCTTTTCAAAGAGAAGAAAATATATATGTGTGTGTGTATGTGTATATGGGGCTTCTTGCCAAATTCCTTGCCACATCAATAGTCTACAACATGCTTATCAGGACACTAAGTCTCTTTTGTGTTCCTGAGATAGGTCTGAAATTTTTACCCAGTATTGAATGTATACCTGAAGTGGTCAAATAATACTTTTTATAAAAAGATTACAGTTTTAACTTTAAATAAGAATGGCCACAATTAACCAACATGCAAAAATTCTCAGACTGCTCACTGAGAAATTCATTACACAGTGCAATTACCACCTTACTCCATTTTTAAATCTTTATTCTGTACTGAACTGATATTCCCAATTAGCCCAAGCAAAGGCATGCCTTTCTAACACGATTTGCTTAAAGGAGGGTTGATGATAAAAGACAGTGAGACTCCAAAGACCCTCTGCATGGCAACTTGGGAGTATAACATTGTCCATGGGTCAAGTGAGCAAATTTCACACAATTCATTTCGTTATGAGGGGCCTGCTCCCCAAGTGCTTCCCTCATTTACATCCAGGGAATAACTACTCACCAAGAGACTGCTGCCCAGAGTCTGGGAGAAGAATCCTCATTTTAAGGGCACTCTTCCAAACAAAAAAAATACCTAAATACTGCAAAGGGGCATATCAGAAACTTAAGAAAGATGCAATAATAGAAACCAAAACCCTTTTCAAAATAAGGGAACGATGTCTATATGAAGTTCATTCAATAAAAAGTCCTTAACTTTCCTTGCATTTTGTTCCTTAAAGATCTGATTTTATTTTATTGGGCAGAACAGGAACTAAATTATTAATAAAATAAAAGCTTGTTTTTTTATTTTTATGTTTTGCTGTGGATAATTTGTACAAAAAGTTCCCAATCTCTAACGAGCTCTAGTGAGACTTAATGTGAAATGGATCTTTAAGATGGAAGTAGAATGCCAAATTCTACTTAAAAAAGAACATCTCAAAGGAACAGAGAGTCATCTGCCATGTGCTTTTGGAGGTGCCCATGCTAGAAAAAACTTCTCAAATAATATGAAGATGCTGGTACAACTTTTCCTATTACACAATTTCTTACACAACCACATGCGTTACATTTATAGACAGATTTACAATTTGAAAAGAAAAAAGTTCTGTCTTAATAAAATTAGTTTTTACAAACTGTAGTCCAAAGTTCTCTGTCTCCTCACACAGCAGACGCATCATCTCCATTGGGTGTGGATCAGAAAAACCCTTCCGAGCAGATCCTGCCAGATTTGGTTCATTCCGTGCCGTGCACTCTGCTTGGAGCACCACACTAACTTTGGGGTCACCACAGAGCCAATACACCTTGGTCTTCTGCTCTTTGATTTTTTTCATTCATCTTCATCATCTTCATCTTCCTCTCCATCAGACAGGGATGTACAAGGCCGGATCTGTCGGTAGCGGTCAAGCCATTTTTCTACCATTTGCGTGACCAGGGGGTGATTTCGCCGCCGAGAGCTTTTCTGCATGGCGACAAGAACTCCCCCCTCAGTCACGCAGCAGTCCAGCCACTCCCTGAGCAGTTTTTCTTGCTGTTCCTCATTACCTAGCTTTTAGAGGAATGCGAGGAAAAGGGAAAATAATACAACAGATCAGAGACTTGACAGGAAAAATTTAATAGAAACCTATAATTTAATAGAAACCTATAGCTGATATGATTACTAATGAAAAGGCCAAAGCAACAAACTGTTTTAACATGGTTTCAACCTCATCAATTTTATGATTAAAACCCAGTTTCCAGGGCTGGCCCGGTGGCGTAGTGGTTAAGTTCGCACACACTGCTTCGGCAGCCTGGGGTTTGCGGGTTTGGATCCCGGGTGCAGACCCACACACCACTTATCGAGCCGTGCTGTGGCAGGCTTCCTACATATAGAGTAGAGGAAGATGGACACGGATGTTAGCCCAGGACCAATCTTCCTCAGCAAAAAGAGGACTGGCAACAGATGTTAGCTCAGGGCTAATATTCCTCACCAAAAAAAGGGAAAAAAACCCAGTTTCCTATGGTTAAATAGAAAAAAGTCATCCAATGGGAAAATTCACAGAAAAACCTAGAGGGAAGAACCACCTAGTAATAATTTGTTTTGATATAATAGCAAAAAGCAAATCTTACCTAAGTAACTGATTGTGGCAAAAAAAAAAGAAAAGGCTAGGAAAAGCAAGTCACAGCTTCCAACACATGACAAGGTAAGTAGACTCAGTAAATTATGTACAGGTTGAAGTTACAAAAATTATGGTCTATGAATTTTTTTCTTAATGACATAGATTATAAAAGTTTTATAATTACTATTATATTAAATAAAAGACCAATAATTTTATAAGAACATGGGTTTTCTGAGAGTGTTCTTTTGCACATTCTCACCACCTCCCCTGCCTGGTCTACACCACCTTCTCCCCTACACCTACAATGGTCTGCCTGGTGTTCCTGCTCCCTGCACTGCCCCAGTATCTAGTCCCAACGGAGCACCCAGTGCTCCGCTTCTGGGCAAACTGGCCATTGGCTTCCCGGCTTACACAGAGTAAAAGCCAAAGCTTTCAAAGGCTGTTGATGAACCCCACCCCGCCCCTTAGCCCCCCAGCCTGCTCCTTCCCTCTTGCCCAATCACCACAAACCACACTGGCCTTGTGGTTGCCTCTACCTAGACTCTCTTCCACCAGACTCTGCAAGACTCACTTCTTTTTCTGGTCTCAATTCAGGTGTCACCTCAGTGATGCCCTCCCTTACCACCCTATTTAAATCACAAGCCCCATGGCCCCCTTTATCGCCTTCCTTTTCCCCTTCACCCCTTCCTTTTACTTTTGGCTTTTTCTCCTCAGCACTCATCGCTACCTGCGGGCAGGGACTTGTCACTTCCCTGCTATAGCCCCACACAACACATCCTACACAGCAGCTCTGAAAAGGTAAATTCCAAAGTCTGACCAGTATTAACAGAAAGCAACAACTCCCACGACCAAAGTCAAAACTTTAATTGGTAGTACAGATAACACCACCCTTGAAAGGCACCAGAGGCTGGGGTTCTGGCAGCACGTTACTACTTTAAGTAGTTAACAGGAGAAACACGCTTATTACCTCCTGAGCAGAAAGAAAGTGCACGTGGAGTAACTTCCTTTCACTGTCAACCAGAGGCAGAAACGTCATGGTGACATCATCGTCGGTGTTCAGGTTAGCACCAGCACCTCGGTTGCCATAGCCATCATTTTCCATGGCAACCAAAGCAGAGAAGTGGCCCCGTGTATAGCCCAGAGCAATTGGACTTTTCCAACAAAAACTCTGTTCCCACAACAAAGGCAAATAAACACCTGGAAGGAGGGAAGAAAATCACAATGGGATTTTCAGGGTGTGGCTGCAAACTGCATTATAATAGTAAACAAGGGACTTCTAAAATACTCTTGAATATGGCTTACCTTGAAACCGAGTATATCCTAAAGTTTCTCCCCGGAAACTTTTATAATATTTTACTCCATAAACTATAATTGGTCGTCTAAGAATATGTGCAAGTACAAAAATGTGTGTCTGTTCCAAGCTTGCTCCAGGCTGTACAGAACAAAATAAAAGAAAACAATTTCCCTTTAAAACATATATTACCACACTGGAAAACTGATGTGTAAAACACAATGCTATACCTTCCTGCAGTACACAATCTCAATTCGTTTTTTTTAAATCATGCTGTCAAGCTAAAGCAGCACCTGATTCCACAAATAGCAAAGTCCAATAAAACTGTAAGGGGAACCTGCAAAGTCTATGTCCCGGTATCCTTCACTATCCAAACTCAAGACCCAAATAGATTTGGTTAAATACTAACCTCAGGAACAAGAGTCAGACAGCAGGGGAGGCTTGATTTATATAATTGCCTTCTGGTTAAGTGACCTGTCAAAGTACTACCTACAACAAGGTCCTCCGGAAGTAAAAAGATGAGCTTTGTTATTTCCTACAAACTTCAATGGCAGCATCACCTACCTCAAGAAAACCAAACAGTCTATCTTCCCCTACAATGACTGTGACAACACATTTTCAGGAGGTATGTGTCACAGATGTAAAACAGCCGCTGTGGCAGAAGGTACTTCCTTCACAGAAGGTACCTCCTTCACAGGGTTCAAATGAATTATGGTGCTTTCTGCAAAGAAAAGGAGTGGTTTGTTGTGCATATATTTGAACTTTACAGTTTGGTATACTGAACATGCTTCACAAAATAAAACTAGCATGAAACTTAGAGTCTAAGAGGGACAATCCTACGCAATTCATTTATAACAAGTTCATTCCCAAGTTTATTAGAAATGACTTCTGTCCTTGGTACCTCCTTGGCCTATATCACATGGATAGAGCCTCACCACTGGGGAGCCTTATGAAGATCATGACTTGATCCTCAGGGCCTGACAGCTCAGCACCAGCACAAGAGCGCCCACAACTAGCTCAGTGACCTTGGGTAAGTTCCCCCTCAGACACAGAACGGGAGCTAACCTGCAGGCAGGTACAATAGGCATAAAGCCAACTTCCTGAGAGGACAATATAAATGAAGAGCAATCTGAAGAAATATGTAAGTGCTTAGAATCATCACAGTACAACTTTCATTTTGACAGTTTTTTATCACTTAATATAAGAAACATGTTACTCTCCCAGTTCTGCAGTAAGGACTTGCCCATGGTCATACAGTTGATAAACAGCAGTCACAACTAGAACCCAAGTCACCTGAGGCCAAGTTGAGCCCTCTTTCCTTTGTAGCACACTGCCTCCAATGTGGTTTACTCATGAAAATCAAGCGGTTGAGACCCTGTGGCCTACTTTTCTCCTACAAGTACATGCCCTGCAGAATTCTCACCTGACTAGCAAGAGAGAGTATAAATGCCCAGTCTTCTTGCCACTGTTCTTCTCTCAGGGAAAAATGTAAACCAAAGCTCTGAGAATACCATGATTCCCAATCTTTCCAACGTGTATAAAACCTAAAAAAGCAAGACAATAAAAAATAAGCCTTCTATAAACTGTACATTTAATGTTTCAATCATTTATCTAATGTAGGCTTTAACCAATTCAAGTGAGATTAATAATTTTATTAAATTTTACCTGGCTTGCAATATATTTTTCAAATTAAAAATGCCCCCATTGTGCTAACAGACATCTTTTAACATATCCTCAGACATAATCTGATACACCACACCAAATTTTCATCAAAAATTCACCACACCAAATTTCATCAAATGAACACTAGTGATGAGAACAGATAATTTCAAGTGTCTACTACTGTTTTACATACTCAAAACAAAACAAAAAAACTCTCAAAATCATCTGAGATGTTGGATACAATCAAAGACACCACATTTCTCCATTAATGTATAGTATTCACTACTTGGTCACTATATAAACAATAGACTAGAAATAGCCCATGTGTTCACAAGAATATCAACATCACTTAAGATTTCTTTCAATCTCATTTCTCTCTGATTATCACATGATAATTAAAAAAAAAAAATCACTGCAACTACAAAAACAACTCCTTCTTTATATTTAATACCCCTTTAAATACTCCAGCCTAATAAATTATGAAGACTGAAAATCAAACTGGGCCATTGGTAGACTGAATTACTAAAGGCAAAATCTATTCTTTTTCTTTACATCAAGTATAAAATTAAACAATTATTAAATAATTATGCTCAAAATTGTGGTTCACTGTCTTACAAAACAAGCCAGTAAAGACAGACATTTAACCTGTTTGTAACATCACATTTCTTTCACTTATAAAGAATTAGAAATCCAAGATACTTTTCTTTTATGTTTTTGACTTCTAGGTAAACAAAAAAAAGCAAAAGATAAAAACATTCTGTTGCTGTTGTTGAAAAGTTCCAGCATAGAAAAAGTTAAGTGTGTTAATATCACAAGTTTCTTTACAGTAACTTAATGGAGGACTCTGTAAAAAATAAATTAATGTATTTTAGATTTTCTAAAAGGACTAAAATAGAATGCTACATAGGTTGAATTCTTGGTTGATTAGAAAAAAATTTTTCTATTCCATGTAACCAAGGGTTTTTTTATCAGGAATCTAAGTTTCAATGCCAAATGTTTTACAAATAAAATAAGGATCTCTCTTTTAAAATGTCTAAGATACACAGAAATATATTTGAATGCACCAATGATGAAATACATTGTTTTGAAAAGTTCAAGAACTATCATGAAACACAGAAAACTGTTACAAACTGAAAGATGTATGCAGTTAAAAATTTCTTGGTTAGTGCCTAGAATCATTTTATGAATGAGATAACTAAGTTTGCCAGAAATTAAATGATGATTGCACTCAAAATTCCTCAAGAAGATCACAGTGTGAGTTAAAAGAAATATACTTTGAAAATAAGCATGTTCAAATGCTTATTTGAACAAAATAAGATCTCACACAAAGATCTAAACTCTGAAGCTACCTGGCTCATTAAGAACAGACAAGCAAACCAAATCCAGGAACATATGACCTAGTGGGACAGCAATACAAGTTTGGTTTAACACTGAAAAATCAATTCTATGTTCATGGATTATAAGACTCAATACTGTCAAACTGGTAATACTCCCCAAATTAATCTACAGATTCAATGCAATCTCCATCAAAATCTCAGAGGATTTTTTTGCAGAAATTGATAAGCTGGATCCTCAAATTTATATGAAAATCCAAAGGATTCAGAATAGCAAAAAGAATTTTGAAAAAGAAGCAGAAAGTTGGAAGATTTACACTCCTGAGTTTGAAACTTACCACAAAGCTACAATCACCAAGACAGTCTGATGTTGGCATAAGAATAGACATACAGATCAATAGGAAAAAACGGAGTCCAGAAACAAATCTTTACTTTTACAGTCAAATAATTTTCAACAAAAGTGCCAAGGCAATTGAATGGGGAAAAAACAGTCTTTTCAATAAATGGTACTAGGACAACTGGATATCCACACACAAAACAGATTATTTTAGATCTTCACCTCACACCTTTAAAAATTAGCTTAGGGGCCGGCCCTGTGGCTTGGTGGTTAAGTGCGCGCGCTGCAATGCTGGTGGCCCGGGTTCGGATCCCGGGTGCGCATCGAGGCACCACTTCTCCGTCCAT